CACGAGAAAGCAGGGGTCTAGGTGAGGAGATCAACCCGTAAGAGGAAGATAACAGAGAAAATGAAGGAGTATTTAGAAAGGAAGCGACTGAAAACGGATAAGCCTGTAGTAAACATTGATAGGGTGGAAGTGAAAGATCAAATGAGAAGTAAGGTTCATTTCTGGCTGGTACGAAGGGATGAACATCCCACCGATATTATCATGGAATGCGGCAGGAGCCACGCCGAACGTGGTTTGGAATGTGCCGCAGGCACCAGTCCCGCTGGTGCTGGTCAGTCCGACAGCATCGGCCCTACCGAGTGCAACTCCAGCTACGACCACCGGAACTTCGCCGGCCGTAATCGTGCTACAGTCGACGGTAAGCACTCTATGAAATCACATGGTAGGGAAAGGAATAAAATGAGTTTCATTGCCAGGAGCGAAATGGCGTACGCCGGGCGGTGGCGCGTGCAAGGGCCTGGAGGGGGAGAAATCCCCCTCAGCCGGTCCGTCGGGGCAGGGGGCGCGTTAGGGCGCCACCTCCCTATGAGGGGAGAGCCGCGAGCACCCCTTGGCAGGATCCGGTCCGCCGCGCTATTTCATGGAGCCCAGTGGATCAACCACGATGTTGTCCATGTGGAGCACCGCAACCGGAAGCGGCCCATCGTCAAGAAGCAGCCACTCCCGAAGTGACGAATGAAGGCGTCCAATGCGAAATTGAAAATAATTCTAAATAATTGTGTGATGAACTTCCGCGTTGATAATAAAATGTTTGATATCTGGTGTTGGTGGAATTATAATGTTTAACTAAGGACCAGGGTGAGGACACCGGCGGAAAGTAGTGGGAGGCGTTGGTGAGTGACCAAGATGGTCACTACGGGGGGATGTTACGGGAGAGTGGCTAGACCGGTTTAGGGTGATGGAGCGATCAGAAGGAAGGAGTTCGGAATGGGTGAGGATAAAGAAGAATGAAGAGGATCACGAAGGATGTGATACGAGGAGTATAAAAGGAATGTAGTAGTAGGAATAAAGATTCATACCGACAGTCTCTGAGCGTCTAACTGGCGATCAGGGACGAAGCTCACCGAGGAGGCCGAAAGCGAGTAGCCGAGGAGGCCGAGCAACGAGTGGCAGTGGAGGCCGAGTAGCAGGGAGCCCGGAAGCATCTAAGCGCAAAGACAAGGACAGGAGGCCGCCGTGAAGAAATAGTCCATCCAGGATTCAGCAGCCTGATCAACTGCACATAGGAATGGACGAGAAGGGCGGTATTGTAGGTACCTCCACCAGGTCAGTGGGAGTGCGAGAGGTCTCGCCGGCTGGCCACGATCCAGCCACGGCCTACGATGTGTATCGTGGTCGGAGCCCAGGGCCATATGTGCCCGGGACTTCCTGGAACACCTGGTGGAGGCTTTTTCAAAACTTCTTGGCCTTGCGGAGAGTAACCGATGAAGGCGATAAACGCCTCATCTTTCTCCAAGAGGTCGGAGCGTCAAATTATGAATTATTAGAGTCCTTGTTACAGGGAAAGGAGCCGGAAGCAGTGACCTTGTTGGAGCTGAGGCAAGCGATGGAACAGCAGTTCCAGCCGAAAAAACTGCTCATGGCGGAACGCTTTCGCGTTGATGTCCAAATCACAGAAGACGGGCCAGACCTTGCAAGAATATTATGCGGAGCTACAGAAAGCCGCGAATACGTGTGGATTTGAGAAGGTGAAGGACATCCGGGATACAATGGTGGCGATGGTATTTATAGGTGGGTTGGCTTCTGTAGAAACGAGAAAGCGGTTGCTCGAGAAGGAAGAGCTAACGTCTAAAGAAGTGTTGGAGGTAGCAGAAGGCGTTTGAGAGAGTTGGAAAAAATGCACCGCATTTGAAACAGGGAATAGTGGAGGTAGGAGTGGCAGCTATTGCGACTGGAGAGTCAAAGCCCCTTCTCGAGCAAAGGCGGAAAAGCGGGAGCGTAGTGCCGTTCGCAGAACAGGGTCGTGTAACCCAAGAAGTAAGAGTAGAACGGTAGATAAACGGTCTCGTGTTCCGCCCAGTGGGCCGCAGCAGTGCTGGGTATGCGCGGGACGTGGACACATAGCAAATCAATGCTTATTTCAAGGGTAAAGCGTATTGTAAGCTGTGTTCACGACCTGGGCACTTACCCAAGGCGTGTCGGATGAGGAAATTCCCGACTCAAGCCTCCCGCCAGGTACACTGGTGTGCGGAGCCTAGTGATTCTGAAGACGAGGCTGATGAAGTGACGGTCAGCAATGTGCAGACAGCGAGATGCCAGAATCACCTAAAGAATACCTCGCAAGGAAGTATGTGCTCCTCAAGGAGTAATGAAGAGTTGAGAACTCTTGGATTAGCAGTAGTAGAATCAAGCCAAAGACACGAATGGCTATAGAACCAGCTATAATGCTGCCGATAATAGTGAATGGAAGCAGAGTTAATTTTGAGCTTGATACAGGGGCCTCGGTTTCGATAATAGATGAGGCAACATGGCAAAGGATAGGTAGCCAGAAATAAAACCGACCAAACTGGAGGCAACAGCCTATAACAAGAGCCCTATTAGTTTTGTCGGAAGATGTGATGTGAAGCTGCAGTTTGAGGGCACGTAGAGAACATGGAAGTGTATGTTTTGAGAGACAGCAGGTCACCCACTTTGCGGCCGAGACATGATTAGGAAACTGCAAATAGATTGCGGGCCGTATGTAAAAAGTATTGTCAGGGAAGAAACTTATACTCAAGAGCAATTACGGACAGAAATAAAAAAGATGTTGGAGGAAAATCGGGTACTGTTCCAGAAGGGGCTGGGCCGTTGTACGACAACGAAAGTTTCGTTGAAATTCAAGCAGGGAATGGAGAAGCCAAAATTTTGCCGCGTACGACCGGTCCCAATAGCGCTGAGACCTAAAGTAGAAGCAAAGCTTCAGGAGTTGGTGGAGAATGGTACCTTAACAAGGGTGGAACACGCGGAATGGGCCACCCCTTTAGTAGTTGTGCCGAAACCAGGAGGGAAGATAAGGCTATGTGGGGACTATAAGGTGACGGTTAATCCACAGTTGGATATTAACCAATACCCATTGCCTAAACCAGATGACTTGTTTCACATGTTGAATGGAGGCCAAAAGTTTTCGAAAATGGATTTATCAGATGCGTATATGCAGCTGGAGTTGGAACCAGAGTCTAAAAAATATACTACCATTAATACACATAAGGGGATGTTCGTATATAATAGAGTCCCATTCGGCATAGCCTCTATCCCAGCGATTTTCCAGAGAATCATGGAAACCACGTTGGCGGGAATAGAGGGAGTAATTATATACCTCGACGATATTACGGTGACGGCCCCAGATGATGGGACACATCTAAGAAGGTTGCGAGAGGTATTGAAAAGGTTGAGAGAAGCCGGTTTCAGGCTGAAGCGCGAGAAGTGTGAATTTATGAAGGAACAGATGGAGTTCCTGGGGCATATAGTGGATGCAAGGGGTATAAGACCTTCGCCAAAGAAGGTGCAGGCAATGGTCAATATGCCTGAGCCAAAAAATCTGAAGGAAGTTAGAATCGTTCATAGGAATGGTACAGTATTACGGTAAATTTATACCGAACTTGTCGACGATAGCAGCGCCCTTGAATGGATTAAGAAAGAAGGGTGTACCCTTTCGTTGGGAAGAGGAACAGAGGAGGGCGTTTAAAAAAATTAAACAGCGACTGATGGGGGCGGATGTGTTGACACACTATGACCCCCAAATACCAGTGGTTTTGGCTACAGACGCTTCCGAATATGGGCTAGGAGCTGTAGTGTACCACAAGTATCCGGATGGGAAAGAAAAAGTGATTGCATACGCATCACGAACATTGACTAAGGAAGAGCGGAATTATTCACAGATAGAGAAGGAAGCGTTGGGAATAGTGTATGGTGTGGAAAAATTTAACCAGTTTCTGTATGGTCGCAAATTTACCTTGCTGACAGATCATCAACCATTGGTTAAGATTTTTGGACCTAAAAACGGAATACCCACGATAGCAGCAAAACGACTGCACCGTTGGGGCCTGCGTTTGATGATCTATTCATTTAATATTGAGTACAGGAAGACAGCCGAATTTGGAAACGCTGATGGGCTATCGAGACTGCCCGACCCTAGAGAACTGCCGAGCTCGCAAATGGTGATAAATGAGGTGATGGAGAAGCAAATGAATAGGGAGACGTGGAATGGTATGATATTAAATGAGGAACAAGTAGCTAAGGCAACGCAAGAGGATGAAACCCTGTCTAAAGTTTTTAAGTACATAATGGAGGGATGGCCGCAGAAGGTCAAAGACAAGGAGTTGAAACCGTATGAAAAACGCAAGTCAGAGCTAAATGTGTATAATGGGTGCATGATGTGGGGCAACCGTGTGGTGATCCCGAAGAAATTTCGGAGGGTGGTATTGAACAGATTACACCACAGCCATTACGGGAGGAATCGGATGATAGCGTTAGCGAGGCGGAAGGTGTGGTACCCAAATATGGATAATGAGATACAAAAAATGGCACGGGCTTGTGAGACATGCGCGAGATTTGGAAACGACATAGTTAGGACTCCGTTGCATCCGTGGGAGGTGCCAGCTAAAGTATGGCAGAGATTGCACATGGATTTTGCCGAAACCACGGATGGGATAAGGTGGCTGATTGTGGTAGACGCGAAATCAAAGTGGCCTGAAGTAGTGCAAATGAGATCCACGACGGTAGAGAAAACTTTGGAAAAGTTGAAAGATGTTTTTAGCACGCACGGGTTACCCGAACAAATAGTGGTGGACAATGGGCCACAATTCATAGCTAAGGAGTTTAAAGAGTATTGTATGAGGAGGAATATTGAATTGATATTCATCCCACCTTATCATCACAATTCTAATGGTGAAGCAGAGCGCTTTGTACAGACCTTTAAGAGGGGTTATGAGAAAGGGAGGAAAGGCGGTAAAGCCGTAAAGGCGATAGTTCGAGATTTGTTATTTGAATATCGAGTTACGGAACACCCAACGACAGGAAAGGCCCCGGCAGAATTGTTAATGGGGCGATCGTTGAGAACAACCTTAGATCTGCTTAAGACGCCAAGGAACTTCGAGGTGACTCCCTATATGCAGAACATGAAAGAACAGTATGATAAGAAAGTAAGAGTTAGACAGTTTGAGGTAGGCCAGCAGGTGTACCTGCGTAGTTATCAAAGCCGGCATGAGAAATGGGTTCCAGGAGTCATACTGGAAACCGTGGGCTCGAACACGTACAGGGTGCATTATGGAACAGGTAGTAGGTTGGCTCATGCTGACCAATTGAAGAAAAGAGTTACCTTTTGGGAGGATGACGGCTCACAGGAGAGCATAGCTAGGCCGAAGGACGGCCAGACGACAACGGGATTGGCCCACGAGAAAGCAGGGGCCCAGGAACAGCCATCGCGGGTGAGGAGATCAACCCGTAAGAGGAAGATAACAGAGAAAATGAAGGAATATTTAGAAAGGAAGCGACTGAAAACGGATAAGCCTGTAGTAAACATTGATAGGGTGGAAGTGAAAGATCAAATGAGAAGTAAGGTTCATTTCTGGCTGGTACGAAGGGATGAACATCCCACCGATATTATCATGGAATGCGGCAGGAGCCACGCCGAACGTGGTTTGGAATGTGCCGCAGGCATCCAGTCCCGCTGGTGCTCGTCAGTCCGACAGCATCGGCCCTACCGAGTGCAACTCCAGCTACGACCACCGGAACTTCGCCGGCCGTAATCGTGCTACAGTCGACGGTAAGCACTCTATGGAATCACATGGTAGGGAAAGGAATAAAAGGAGTTTCATTGCCAGGAGCGAAGTGGTGTACGCCGGGCGGTGGCGCGTGCAAGGGCCTGGAGGGGGAGAAATCCCCCTCAGCCGGTCCGTCGGGGCAGGGGGCGCGTTAGGGCGCCACCTCCCTATGAGGGGAGAGCCGCGAGCACCCCTTGGCAGGATCCGGTCCGCCGCGCTATTTCATGGAGCCCAGTGGATCAACCACGATGTTGTCCATGTGGAGCACCGCAACCGGAAGCGGCCCATCGTCAAGAAGCAGCCACTCCCGAAGTGACGAATGAAGGCGTCCAATGCGAAATTGAAAATAATTCTAAATAATTGTGTTATGAACTTCCGCGTTGATAATAAAATGTTTGATATCTGGTGTTGGTGGAATTATAATGTTTAACTAAGGACCAGGGTGAGGACACCGGCGGAAAGTAGTGGGAGGCGTTGGTGAGTGACCAAGATGGTCACTACGGGGGGATGTTACGGGAGAGTGGCTAGACCGGTTTAGGGTGATGGAGCGATCAGAAGGAAGGAGTTCGAATGGGTGAGGATAAAGAAGAATGAAGAGGATCACGAAGGATGTGATACGAGGAGTATAAAAGGAATGTAGAAGTAGGAATAAAGATTCATACCGACAGTCTCTGAGCGTCTAACTATATTCTCTCTCAAAAAGATAAATCTCTAGTTTTAGTTTTGGGGAAGTTTCGCTGGGATATCTGGGAAACATCTCATCCTGACGATATCTCATGGGGCAGTCCAAAAAACTCGAGTTAAGTTGATTAAACCTATGATTGAGCTGTGAAATCAGATCTGATCAGCTTGTGATCAGATCAATATGTCGAAGGACATATTCCGCTCACATCTCGTTCATTTGACAGAACTAGAGCCAAGTATTTGGGACTCAACAAGTGATGAGTATAGAATGGGGGATCGAAAAAAAAACGCCTGGAGCTGTGTGATGATGGCATGAAAAAATGATCCACAATCGTAGATGATGATTAATAGCCTAATCGCCTACTCGCCTAATCGCCTACTCGCCTACTCCCTACTCGCCTAATCGCCTGATCGCCTACTCGCCTACTCGCCTACTCGCCGAATCTATACGTATATTTTTCATGTAGACTGATCGCCTAATCGCCTAATCGCCAACTATGAACACTCCATAGAGATTATATGATTATAAGAAAACTCCACCCCAGTGGGCGGGCTGATATAATAAGAGCTGAGTTAGAGTACCATTGGACGGGCAAAATCCCACGAAAGATACGATACGATAAGATAAGAAGGTGCGGCTGCTTAATGCAGTGGCTATCTCAGCGTCTAATCAGGCGAGTCTACGGATTTGACGTGGCACTCGCCACACTTGAGAGCATGGATAGACCGTTCAACACACTTCGCTAGAAATCAACAAAACATGATGGAGCAGCTTATTTACACGACTTCCACCAAGTGCGACGCTGCCCCTCAATCGTAACACGACCGCCTTGATGAGACAGGTAGATATGGACTGTGTAGGCGCACTCCATGATGAAAATTGAATGATAATGAACGGTGTCGTATCAAGCACGCTACCGATGCGATCCTTTCCACACCGATATGCTCCAGCGCCATATCACGCCTTATGGAGCGTTCATAGTTGGCGATTAGGCGATTAGGCGATTAGTCTAAATGAAAAATATACGTATAGATTCGGCGAGTAGGTCAGGCGAGTAGGCGATTAGGCGGTGAAGACTACATACGTATCGACTTGTATGTTCCGCCCTGAGGGCGTTGTAGGCGAGTAGGCGAGTAGGCGATTAGGCGATTTGCACACGGCGCACTCCTTAGTCGTCAAAATTGAGGCGCACATGCATATTAGCTTCTCACCCATACACTAGACTACTAGTTGGTAAAAGCAGATCTTGTCAAAACCAGATTGGTCCCCCGGCAACCACCGGGACCTCCTTACCTGCGTAAGCTTTACTCCTTCCAATGTGCTCCCATCCACTGGTGACATGGACACCTCGTGGAGGTGGCACGCATGCACAAAAAAGTGTCTTATATAGTAGAAGGCATTACCGTAATCGTGACATGACCTTAGAATGATCCCTACTATATATAATGCGCTAAGTCTGTCTGTCTGTCTGTCTGTCTGTCTGTCACGAAATTCCGTATTAAGCGGACAACAACCTACTGGGTCCAGGTCAAGTTTGGGATGGGTGTACCATATCTCGAGAAGTAAAAAACATACATTACCTAAGCGGAGCCCCGCCCACAGTGGGCGTGGCGTGCGTCGAAATGAGTGGTACTGAGGACCATGATTTCAAATTCAGTCACAAAACAGCCTCGAGACCGGGACAAAAGTGGGCATAGGTGTGGGTTGGTAAGCCAGATTGAACTGAGGAGACCCACCCTCGGTGGGCGGGGCGTTCTCTAGAAAATGGGTGCTCAGTGAAAATATTCATAACTCGGTTAAGAGGAAGCCTACAGACCAGAAACGAAATTAGTGCAGGGGAGCAATGCCTAAGGTATTTCCACCACGCATGATGTGAACGGAGGCCCGCCCACAATGGGCGGAGCGTGTCGTGAAGCGGACAGCATTTTCTACAAGAGCTCATAAATCGGCTCCGAGATGACTTAGAGACCGGAAAACAACGGATAGAGGTCAGGAGGGGAGGGGAAGCTAAATGTCAGGGATGGGCGTGGCTTACATCAAAGTGGGCGGAGTTTGCAATTAGGCTTATAACTCGGTTCCTAGGAGTCCCGGAGTCCGGGAAAAAAGCGTATAAGGGTTGGCAGAGGGAAAGGGGTCAACCGTTGTTGGCGGGCGGAGCATGCACCAAAGTGGGCGGGGTTTGCCACGGTACTTCATAACTCGGTTCCAATAAGTTCCAGAGATGGGAGAAAAGTAGAAAAAGGTTGGGGAAGAGATGATAGCCGACTGATATCAGTGGGCGACCCACGCACCAAAGTGGGCGGGGTTTGCCACAAAGATACGTAGCTCGATTTCGTCCCCTACAAGACCTCATAATTCTGGCTCCGAGATGACTTAGAGACCTGAAAAAAATACGCCAGAGGTGAAAGTAGGAGTAGAGGTTGAATGTGAACGCTGGGCGTGGCACACCCGGATGTGGGCGGAGTTTGCCACCGCTCTCATAACTCGGTTCCTAGAAGTTCCGGCGACCGGGGAAAAATGTGCATAAGTATTGAGGTATGGAGTAGGGTTGAATGCCATTGTTGGGCTAACCATGCACCAAAGTGGGCGGGGTCTGCCTCAGAAATTCGTGACTCATAACGCCATTTACAAGACCTCATAATTCGGCTCCGAGATGACTTAGAGACCTGAAAAAAATACGCCAGAGGTGAAAGTAGGAGTAGAGGTTGAATGTGAACGCTGGGCGTGGCACACCCGGATGTGGGCGGAGTTTGCGGCGTAAGTAAGATGTACCGAGCAGAAAGCTAAAATCAAGACAAAAATACTGATGGGCCCGATTTTACCGCTGCAGCCCCGTCTCATGCACGCGAATGCGTGCGCAGCCAAACTGGTATTAATTGGACCTCAGGTCTTTTGGCGGTTAGCTCCCCTCGCCCTTCTCCATCTTATCCTATTCCCTCTACTGCTCTCCAGCTGCTATTGCAGCATCATGTGGAATGAATGAGACCATGCTCAGTAGGTGTTTATATAGCCGTTGGGGTGTTATCACATTGATAGCACTGCAAAACATTGATTGCTAAAGTCATAGTTACTCGATTTTGTTAACGGTCTGTTTACTTCACGAGTTTCCCTACCACTTCATTTTGCGGACGGACACACATACATACATACATACATACATACATACACACACATACAGACATACAAACCGACACACGCTTAATCGATACGTATCGCTTTACATCGCCTAATCGCCTAATCGATCCGTATACTTTTCATTTTGAATCATCGCCTACTCGCCTAATCGCCTAATCGCACGTACGATCGCCAACTATGAACGCTCCATTAGACAGGGCGCCACTGCCCCTCAGGTGTCAACTTTCTGTCCATTGGGTAGGACCTCTACGCAATCCACTATGTAACTTTCTCACTCGTCCCCGGGAATTCATCGCGGCCACTCCTCCACAGGAGAATTCCACAATAAGATCGGAGGTCGAGGAAGGGTAAAGACTACCTAATGGAGAGAAAGGCGGAGCCTCTAATGGTGAGGGTGCGCACTTACACGCTTTTCAACGCTGCAACAGCTTCCGGCGATCTACCGCCGTCTCAGCCGCTGCTTAGGGGAGAGATCATCAACCTGAAGACAGCGGCATCGATGAGGGTCGCATCAGAGCGGACATTAACAGGCGAGAGAGGGGTCTCATTTCTTGGATCCTAAGCCGTTTCTTATGGTTTCTTCTTCATCTCGGCACCACTGGACACCTTTACTGCGTTTTATGGCAGGTTCGAAAGCCTCAAGCTTGTTGTGGAAATAGAAAATTAACGATGTTTTCAGCTTCTGAGAAGACTTTCAAAAACATCTTCGTGTTTGCTTCGATTCCATGCCTTGTGCTGGCTATGTACGCGGCCTACGTTGACCACAGTGCCCGTAAGAAACGAGGGCGACCGAAATATATCAACTACGCATATCTTAATGTCAGGAAGAAGGTTTGGTCTTGTTCTTCATCTGAAAAATTCCCTGAGCTGACAAGAGGACCATTTGCTATAGCCGGCCATCGTAGAGCTCCTTACACACCTTCTCTTTGAATTTGATTACCTCGTTTCTGTGCTTTTACTTCTATTACTACTTTCCTTCATTTACGTATTACCACAGACGTTGACCTTCATGCAGCCCTTCCTATGCTTGTGTAGCTTTCTGGACTCTTAACATTCTACGTCCGTCATTTCGCTTGAACTCATCCTTAGCGCAGATTATTGGCGACCAGTAGGCTACCAATGCGGAACAGGTTGCACACTCCTTCCTCAATTACTCCATATCTCCTTTTGAGAGCTCCTTTCCATTTTCCTCCTCTTCTACTCCTCTTTCACCTTATAACTTTCCCTCTTTCCTAGCACTTTTTTATCTTCATAATACCATTACACTATTCGATTACTCGACTTTCTCTCATGTCTTCAACCTTTTTGTGGAACAACTATTAGAACGAGAAATCAGGAACTTCGTTCACTATCCACCTGATTTTCAGCCGTTCCCATGGGGTGACGGGAATCATTCATTGTTCCACAATCCTCACACGCAGTATGTACCTGGTGTTGGATTTGAGGACGAACACAAGAAGTGAAAAAAAAACTTATTGCAAGCTGTGTGCAGACTGTCAGCCTTATCTTGTGTAGATAAATAGTGAGATATTGTTTCTTGTTGTTTTCAACAATTACGGCACAGACAACCATTTAGAAGCTGTCGATCTTTTCCAATAGTCAGAGAGTAATTCCTTGTTGGAACCTCTTCATTATTGGTCAATTTCTTTGATCCTTCTGCGCCACACAATGTTGATACATGGAGACTTTGTCAACTGGCCTGACGTCATGACCTTTTCGCCTTCTTTACAGGGTAGCAGGGTGAATATCGGTCGAGGAAATCCTCGACAGGGGGGTCGTACCTGTTGGGCTGGTCCATGGGGGGTCGTACTCTTGGGGGTCAGTAACAGCAGTGGTATCGTGGTGCA